AGACCAGTGAAGAGATTCTGAACCAGCATTCTTTTTTTTTTTGCAAACCAAACGACACTGAGTTTGATACAATTCCTGCAGCAGAAGTTACCAGTCTTTACCACGCAGTAAAACATGCACATTCATATCAGTCAACTGACTGCTGTGGCAAGCAAGGCCCTGAAATTTCTTCAGATTCGGAGACACCAAAGAAAATGTCATGTGGTCACACCAAGGCAGCTTGATTAATAACCTGTCTTAGCTCCTTGAATCACAGCAGCATCAAGCCTTTGCGTCTAGCTGTAAGACACTGAACACCAAAGTTGGGATTAAAAACCAGTGTTCTTGATGATGATGAGGACAGAGAAGAGATATCCGATTCCATTCACTGACAAGTAACACATAAACTGCTGGAAAACGGTCTGAAACCTGATTATATGAAATAATATCTGCTTAGAGTGCTGATAATGCCAGTGTGATTTACGCAAGACACAATTCCAGATATACTGTAGACAACCTGGACATAGACACTGAATTTACAATCAATAAAATCAGTCAATTCTCATACAAATGATCGAAATACACGAAATCAGTGTTTCAATTTGTTGAACAACATTTCCATGCTGTTATGGAATGTGCCCACAAGATGGCTCAGTCTACGGCCTGCTGTCTCGAGGCTCCATGCCAGCTGGCCTGAAGGTAAGGCCTACGTTTTGTCACTTGGAGAGAAGCGTTGTCCAAAGGTGCTTTGGAAGCTTTTGAAAGTGATCAACACAGTGATGGGCAGCCTCTGGAGTTACAGGTCTACCTGTCCTTCCTCCATAATGCTATTCTGCTGTTGGAGAGAGATGATAGGACTGTCTGTGAACTACATGACATCCTCTACACGCCTCAGACCAAGCTCCAGCAGCAACCGGTGGTCTAATTTTTGGAGTTTCCAGACTGTAAAGCAACAGCCATTACACAGGACTTCTATAAGCATGAAGTCAGCTACCTTGAGAGTGTTACGACCTCTCAGACAGCAACTTTCCCAAACATGTGGAGGTCTTAAGACTGAAGAGTGAGTTCACATCCTCCAACCTCTCAGACACAGTTGAGATCCTCCAGATGAAGGACAAACTGAATATGGATGAACTATATGAGGAGTCCTGTGTGCCTTTGTCACGTCAGCAGGAGGTTGTGAAGACAGCTGTCCACATTTCTGCATTACAACGAACTGACTGTCATTTCTGTTGATGCCACTGTATGGCAGCAGACATCAAAGGTGCAGAAGTTTCTTTGAAAGTTTAGGTTTATTCTTGTACATTTTATTTAAATGATTTCACCCAGAATTCTACATACCAACTGTGTGAAGAGACTTTTGCCCAATTAATAATTCCATTATTTGCATTAGTCACAGATAGAAACACTGACATCTATCTGCTGATATCGGTGTTTCTGTTCCAAACATCTTCATTAAGTTTTGAAATATTTTAGTATTTTGATTTGAATAATCGTGATTAATCATGACTAATGACTTACTGCCACAATTAAATATGATTGATTGATTAATCGTGACTAATCGTGACTACTTAAGATCACGTGATTAATCCATGACTAGCCTGTGATATGTAAAAATAAATGGCAACCAGCATAACAATCAAAAAAACTAAAATAAAAATCTCAAGCAAATGTTCTGCAGCAGCACAGAACATGTGGAATTCTCAGCTGGATTCTCAGCCTTGAATCTGAGTCCAAACTTTATGCAAAACAGTATGTGGAAAAAAAAACCCAAAACCATGTGGGTGAAGGTTTGTGGGCTATATTTAAAGATGACACAACTTTAAAGGCCTGGTGGGTGAGAACAATGATGCAGCTGTGGGCTTTTGGTTCTACATGAGGAACACCGTCACAGTCCGCTTTTAGGATGAAGCTGAGTAAACCGCCTTTAACAGCAGCATTGTTCTGTACCTGTGTAGGTGGAGGAGGACAAAGACTGGTGTCATCACAGCCTGACGTGATCTGCTCTCCTGGACGCTCCCAAATGACTGGCACCTCTCTGCCGCTTTGTCCTGGTTGGTGCAATTAGCTCGGTGACAGCTGTGTGTGTGTGTGCGCGTGTGTGTGTGTGTGGAAACCAGGCAATTACAGTTCCCCCTCTCCCCTCTCACCCTCTCCTCATCTTTCAAACATTTTTTCCTCCTCCTCCTCCTCCCTCCATTCTTCTCTTTTGTTCCCTAATTTAAGTCTTTTCTTCACTCCATCTCACCACCATCCAAGTGACCCTCACAATTTCACACACTGTACCTCACCCCCTCCCTTTGCCTCTCCCTGTACCACCAGTACAACGACAGTTAACCCACACATTTTACTCCTTTTAAAGTTAGTACTTCTACAGAATGTATAATTTAAGTTTTTTGTTTTTTGCATTCTTTTACACCGTTTTAAGATCAGGACTGTTCTAAAACTTAGTTTTACTGGTAATATTTACTGGTTTTATTTTGCACAGAACCGACTCTGAATGTTTATTTTTATCGTTCGCTGCTGACTGTTCCATCTGACCAATTCAGAGGTTTTTTGGGAGTGGGCTAGTTAAATTCTAAGTCTTTTTAACCTCTCTATAAAAATCTGAGTATTCTTAACCTCTCTCGTTCCCTCTCTCCCTCGCACACACACAACCAGAATTAGCAGGTATGGCTAATTTTAACCCTAAATCGGCTCAGTTCCGATTCAAACTAAATCTTTAACCTCCTAATCTCTAATCTCTCATATAATCTTTCATGGTAGCCTTCCCACAACAAAGCCTTTCACCTCCTGTCCCTGTAAATTCCAGGGTGTGGGACATTTCAATATCACGTACACGGTGAAAGATTGCCACCTGCTGGATATGTTCATAACGTTCTCTGCTGTCATGGACTCAATCCCTTCATTTGTCATTCTGAAGCAGTTCCTGTTCCTGTAGTTGGGACCATTGTCTCCCAGGACTTTTCTTCACACAGGTACAAAAGGAAAATGTCGGTACCAGGGGTACTAAACCGTCAGATATCAAGCCCACCATGTGTACATGCACAACACAATGATGCAAACCAACAACCACAACAACTGAACCACAGCAGCTGCAACGGCTGTGTCTCCACCACAATTCATCAACCACAGCATACGACGTCAGGTCAACTGGAATTTAACAGACATCCGTCACTGCACTCAGATTACCAGCACTACCTTCCTCTGGGTAGGAGTGACGTCACAGCGGGTGTTAGCTACAGCCTCTGAAAAATCGAACATGTCAAAATGAGGGACTGCGTGTCAATGTGACGGCCAAAAGAGAAGGAGACACCTGCTGACCCTGTCCACAGAGGTTGTCGTCAGTCATGAGATCAAACTGGAGGCTAACATACCACAGGTTAGTCGACATGTAAATACACAAAAGAAAAATATGTATCAGCATTTACTGCCAGAAAAGTTCAGAGATGATAACAATTGTAAATAGACATAAGAATACATATTCACTTCTTTAGTTCTAGTGACATTCTGAAAAACAATATGAAACTTTTTTGCTAATACATTATGCTAATTGTGTCCATAGATCATTATCAGAACTACACATTGGTACTTTAGAAAATACTCACAAAACCAGTAGAAAAAAACATTTTATTCACCATTTCTCAGAATCTGATTCAGAAATCATTGTTGTTGACAGGGGTTCTCTCATTTTCAAGTATGTTCCACCTCAATAGTTCCTCATTACCTTGTCAACACTCTGTACTGTCATTGCTTAGACAGAATTTACTGAGGTAATTTGGCCTTTTAGCTCAATTATTTAAAACAAAAAATACAAACAAAGTAGTTAGAAGTAACTCTGTTTCAGAAACTTGCAGCAAAATTAAGGGTTAAGAAAAGAACAACAGACATGTGATAAAAATGATAATGTGAAATATTTATGTGACTTAAGTTTGGTGAGCCACATGTCACAGATTTAAATATTTAAAAAATTGATTATGCATTTTTCAACAGTGGAGACCTGGACATTTGACCCCCGCAATATTCTGCGGTCATGAGTTCATTTAAACAAACCCTGGCAGCCAATGGGAGAGGGTAGTTGCACCACAGGGTCACATACAGAGACAAATAATCACACATGGTCAATGAAGCACAACTACTGATTCTGGACAAATGTATGGAAAAAAAATTCAAGTACTTGGAGAAAACCTGCCAGTGGGAAAAGACTTGGACCGGTGAAGGAATGCTGTTTTAAACATATTTCTACTTTGTTTACATGCGTGTTTAAACAGCTCCCAGTAATGCTGAGCATGAGGGACGGACAGCAACACACCTCTGATCCACGGGGTTAGCTTAAGAAATGTTTGTTCAAAACTTTTTACTCCGACAAAAGAGTACAACCCTACCATGTGGGTGCAGAGACTGAGCCCAGATGATGGAGATCTTCATTGTCACGCAGTTGTCAGTGTTGTCACAGCCCGATCCAGGTTACCTGGCGGAACCGAAGTGTCACATTCAACTTGGACGGCGAAAAACGGCATCACCACCTGGACAAACTTCATTCGAGCGTCAGTTCAGTACGCCACGTATGCGCATGCGCGATCCGTTGCCGTAAATCGACGAAAACAACGCCGCTGGCATAGAGATTAAACAAATAGACAGCGAAAGTTTGCGCGCTTCATCACTTTTTCTTCCCTACAAAATCTACAGCATTATAAATTTACAGTATGATGTGAACTGAAGGACATCATTATTAGGGTTAAGTCGTAAAGTTCTGATTAGAAATTATCTTTATTTCCAAATATATTTTAATTTCATAGCTTGAGTCAATGCAATAGAAAGAATGCAAGGCTAAGGTGTAAGGGCATTTAGGTTAGTCATCATTACTAATGCTCAGTTGGCCTTGATCAGTGCAAGAAAGTGACTGAATCATCTCTGCAATACTTGAATGAAAGTCTAAAGTTGTATTGTTTCAGTGATTCAAAACATTTGTTTTCTCACTTCTCAAACTCAAATAAAATCAACACAATAGACAAGTTTCATTTCTTGTTTGAATGTGTCATGGCACCATTTATTTACTAAAGTTATGCATAACCTTCCAACTTGATCATTGTACAGTATATGTTGAACTTCATGACGTGGTTAGAATATCAGAGCAGGCAGCTAAGAACTGCCCAGAGCACAGACGACAGCAGCAGCAGTTCTGTCAGAAGCTAATACGTTGCTCGGGGATGACCACTCTCTGTCACAGAGGGGTAACGGTGCAAGATACCCCGGGGCAGATGACGGGGCATGACGACAGCTTGTAGAGGGGGATCCAGGGGGTTGGGTAAAAGCATCAGCAAGTTACAGAGCTTTAAGGGAGGAGGGAAAACATGGGAATGACACCTGTAAGTGTTCAAAGAGAACAGGAGCAGAAGGAATTACAAAAGAAAGGAAGTGAGGGAGAGGGTCAGAGGTCAAACACTTGTCGGAGGCAGCAGAGAAATGCAACAGGACCAGATCAGAGCCTTCGGACTCTTCATTCTAGTGAAACACCAAAAACACCACTCCTAGATTTTTATCTAAAAGTCTTCTTTAACACATTTGGATCAAACCATCACCAGTGCAACTCTGGCCATATATATATATATCTATATCTATATCAATATATATGTATATATCGATATAGATATAGATCCTGCCATTTTCTCAGTATTCTACTGGGCTGGCACATATGTTTTTATTCATCACTCACACAAAGCCCATGTGACTGAAGCAGGGAAAGGGAGCCAATCAGGGAACACAGTGGCTGAAAGCATGCAAGCAATGTGGAGACACTTATTCTCCACAGACACATTCTCAAAGAAAGAAAGAAAAATAAATACATCTTGGGATAAAAAAAAAACTTAATACATTATCTTAAAAATTTTCCTTTTCTCGTTCTTTTGTTTCATATATATATATTCTAAACACACATCTTTGTACATTTTGGTATAAGTTCTCTTACTTGCCAGGAGTTCAGGTGGGAATTGGGTGATGGATGGTTGAGGTGGGGGTGGGGTTTTCTGGAAGGGCAGAGCAATCCCACTTCCCTGATTGCCTTGTGCTGACGGAGAGGGAATGTGGCATTGAGAGACAAAAAAAAAAAAAAAATGGCTCCTCCCTCAAACATTTCTGCTCTCATTCAAGTCTCTCATTTGCTGTAGCAACAACAGCTGTTGGCGATGGAGAGTAAAAGTTGCAGAGGGGTCAGCAGTGAGAGGACAAGCTTATAGGATGTCCCAAATGTCCAGAACACAATGAGGAGGAGCAGACTGCATGTTGGTACTTCCTCTTTGGGAGCAGAGCCAAAGTCTGCAGCAGGAACTTCCACTATCTCTTATCTGGCAGAAAGATGGAGGTGAAGGTTCAGACAGATACAGGAAGTGGTCCATATGTAGAGGCCGGCAGATTCACACATATTCAGACAATATGCTCAACTGAAATACCTTTGTTTCTGTCCGGGTCTTCCGCTGACCTTTCTGACCTCAGGCGTAATAAATTATTGTACTTGGCCTCAACATCCTGCAAAAAAGAAGTGAAAAAACAGTCAGACTATGGCGCAACGAGACAGTGATGAGCTTTAAAGAGAAATTCATCAGTACCTTTAGGTAGTTGAGGTTGGACTGAAGGTTTCTGAGATGTGACAGCACCTGTCGACTGAAGATAGACAGGCTGCCCGCCTGGGAGGTTGAAGAAAATCTTAAATTCATGCCTGAGTCAGTGGCACAGCCCTGTGCGCTGCTCAGCTGCTTCCCTGTGGTCGACGCCAGGATCTCGTCATCTGTGCTGCTCTCTCCTGCCCTGCCGTAGCCCTCCAGGACCAAGAATTCTGCTGGGAGTATTTAAAACAAAGGTTTGGCATGGATCTTTACCTATTGATTATTGACCAGTCCTCATTGGCAGTACTGATAAGATAATCAATAATTATCTTGTATGGTCCACTGTTACCCAACACATATTTTGAATTGTAAGGAGCTCCCAAGCAGCTTAGATGAGGCAGCACCATGTGACCCCGGTCAGGTCTGGACGTCTCTGTCTCACCATAATCATCGGGAGAGTCGAAGAAGCCCGTGTCTCCAGAACCCAGGTCCTGAGCCTGGTCCTCGGTGTGGGTGCTGTTCTTGTCCGAGCCATTGTGTGCCATCACCCGGGCACGACTGTCAATGGGCGTTCGCAGTGAGGTGGCCCTGAGGAGACGAGCCCCCGTGGATTGTTTGGTTTGCTCTATGGGCTCTTGAGACATGAGCTGTGTGACCAGCTCCTGCTTCAACGCTGCCACTGAAGGAGTGAAAAAAAAAGAAGAGTGACTTCAGGTTGTTTTTCACCACCTGCACTTGCCTTCAGTGTTTTTTTGTCTTACATGTTTTCAGAGCTTCAGCTGCCCTAGAGGGAAACATGTTGAATGAATCTGCTGCTCTGCCATCGTCGGAGACCTGGTAAGGAAGCTCTGGGTCCACATAGCCGTCCTCCTTCTCCTTTTCCACAAATTTTACTCTGTCAAACAGGTTATTACCAGGTAGACAGCTCTGCAGTGCTCTCCTAGAAGTTGGGCTGCTCTCTTTATCTACACAGACATAATTACGCTTGTCAGAAGGGGTTATCTGCAAATTGCTGAAGCACGAGGCTGTTTGAGAAGCAGAGAGGAACGTTTCTATTCTTTTAAGTTGAAATTGGGGGTTATAATTATAGAGGGGTTATCTGCAAATTGCTGAAGCACGAGGTTGTTTGAGAAGCAGAGAGGAACGTTTCTATTCCGTTGAGTTGAAATGATGTGTGGCCCACGTGTTACCTGTGGACTGTGTGCTCCCTGTGGACGTGCGGTCGGGGTCTCTGCTCAGCTTGGAGACACCTGCGGTGATGATATCCACTCCATCTCTCTCCCCACTGACACACAAGATCAGATCATGTCAAAAACAACGTGGGAACTAACTAACTTGATCATTGTAAGTAAACTTAAAAATACTACATTTTAGCCACATACTCGCTCTGAGGTAACGGTATAATGTTGTGAGGTTTGACCTTCATGGCATCAGCTCTCTGGATTATTAACTCCTGCCACCTTTAGTGAGCAAAAAAAAACAAAACAAAAGATAATTAGTCCATTTGTAAAACACAAAAACAATTCAAACTCAATCCATCTTATCTTTGTGCTCACGTTTTTTGATCAGCGACTGTGGGCGCCATAAGCTCATAGATCTGGGCTCCATTTTCGGACATAGAAAGGACGAAGAAGGACTTGTTGTCTGGACAGTGTAAAGCAGAGAGGACAAACTTAGTAAAACTCTGCCATCCACAGGTGCAGGAAGAAAGCCTCTCTGACTGACCTGTGGCCACTGATCGCACCAGAACCGTGTTGAGTTTGATGATGGGGCTGAAGATGTGTTTGGTGTCTGCGGTGCCCGCCAGGTTTTTGCTGTGACACTTGAGGATAAGGCGTTCATCTTGTTTCTGCAGCAGCACCAGGATGTCCTCCAGGAGGAGTGTAAACAACTCTGACAGAAGAGAGACGACTGAATTTACAGCAGTGTTCAATTTGACGACTAACAGTGGACTTAGTCTGGGTCTTTGGAATAAATTATAATTGAGTCAACAAAATATCAAAAATGCTTCAGTCGCTTAAAATGTAACATTTGTTTTTAAAGATTTCACTAAACTCTGTTTATAAATCTAAACATTCATTAAAAAGTATTAGGGTACTGCGTATTAGACTGTAACATGTATTTAATTTAACAGATGTTCTATTTTATAATTACAATATTTACACACACATATATATATTGACTATATTTATGTATACATACAGACACACATGCACTGTAAAACAGAACATACCAATAGTCTTGTCCTTATTCACTTTCCATGAGAGTGGTCCCACGTGCACCAACGTTTTCTTGGTTAGATCCAAGTTCTGTAAATATATATATATATATATAAAAAGTGAATTAAACGACTGTTATCTCTCAACCTTCAGGCCATTTGGTGAAGGAGGTTTCATCCATGCCCTGAGAATGCAGGAACATTTGTGAAGTCAAGATGGAAGAATACTCTGGACTATAATGTCTATGAAGAAAGCTTATGGCTCGTGACAACAAGTCACCTTTAACTCCTGGATCACTGGGTTGTCAGTCTGCTTCAGTGAGGACAGGTCAAGTCTTCGTTGATAATCCTCTAACCTCTGAGGATAGAAGTTGATCCATTAATATTGTAAATCAAGGAATCAAGTACAATACAAATATTTAATTTGAAATGAGGAAGTCAAAACTAAAAATAACTTAAAAATAAAAAAGGATCTTACCTGCTTGTCCTCAGACTCTTTTAAAGCCTGGTTGACATGATTTAAAATCATTCTACAACAGTCTGCTGCCTGCTTCACTTTGTCCTTCTCCGCTGTGTTGTCTAAAACACATAATAATAAGAAGAAATAAGACCAACTGTGCTGCCCAGAGAGCTGCCTGCCAGGCACATAATACGCTATCATTCCCTAAAATGATGCTATAAACAGGGACTGCAGTGAGGTGGTGGTGGGGGGCGGAGGGGGTTATGCTCCTATAATAGCTACTTACACTTTATCATTAGTGATTTTATTCTGACTCCAACCCAAACTCCAGACTGGGACGGATCAAATAATGAAGAATACAATTTCCTGAAATGAGCTCAGGTTCCCCAGTACCATTGAGATAATAATCTCTATTTTATTTCTAAATTGTATCTGGTTATGTGGTTCTTCACTCTTCACAGCTTCATCTCTGAAGAGTTCTTAATCGTTCATTTTAGATTGCAGAATAAACACTGCTCTGTTTTTGTGCCTTAAAGACAAGCAAAGACATCAATAGTGACTGTGATCATCTTTAAACTGTCAGTTTACAGAATACCTGGGCAAACTATGGCCTGTGGACCAGATGCAGCCTGACTGAAAGACCCAGTAGCCGGACAGATATGGACAAATCTAGGGTATCCCATCTAGAAAACTATTTCATTGATCTGCTTGTGAGTGACCAATTCAGGGACATTTGATAATTTTTCCACTGGAATGATGTCTTTCAGCTGCAACCGTCTGCAGAGTCTGTTACTCTCTGCCTCCTGGAAAGGAAGAATTAAGAAAGTCTTGAATTAAATATGCATTGTACAAACACAGAGAGTACCATCATTTACTCAGTCATTCAATTTGAACTTCATCCACTAGTTTTGTGTGTCAGTAGAAGAGCATGACATCAGTACCTGGATGAAGGAGAAGAACCTGGAGTCTTTCTTCTGTTTGGTTTTGATGATCTCCAGAGCAAAAGGCTGGTTACAGCAGAAGGTCCCCACCGCTTGCTTGATCTTCTCCTCTTCACCACCGATGAACTGTAACCACAAGAGCCACCACAGGACAAAGACAGAGACAGACCAACGTCAGCCACCGAGATAATCTCATCTGGGTCGTGGGTGGTTGCCATGGAAACATGGGTCGTTCTAACCACGGTAATGACTAGTTACTCTGTGAGGGGAGTCTGTCAGAGGGATCTGACATCTACATCTACTGTAAGACAGATCAATGTCGCGGCCCTCAGGGAACCATTTAATCCACTTATACGCCACAGAGACTCATGTCAGACATGTGTGCCGGCTGATATGCGATCATCTCATATCTAATGTATCACATGTAATATTAAAGGATAAGGACATAAACCAAAGCTGGGGGAACGATCTGACAGTCACTGAGGAATGGCTTCTATTTCATTTACTTGCCCCCAAACTGTGAGAATGTTTCTTTCACCATCAGGGGGCAGAGTAGTTTCTCTGGGTCATATTTATGGTTCTGGTTTTTAAAGTTTGGATATAAAAATGTCACGCTATGACAATCAGCGCACAAAGACCATGGATGAGTGCTTTACCATTTCTGTTCATATCATGTGTCAAAATAAATTACATGTTGGCTGAAAAAGAAGCCAATTCTGGGCCAACGTTTCTTCTTTTGCTGTAAAAGAACCGCGGGGCCAACAAATCGATATCTTCGACCACAATGCTTTTCTGCCCTCCCTCTGCCCCCACCACCACATCACTCATCGTGAAATGTATTCAATACGGGAAAATGTTTGAAAGAAAATATACAATTTCAGCTGGAGAACTGTTCTCACCCAGGAGAGCAGGTCATCTCCTATCTGATCAATTACTGACGACTCATTCCTCTTCCGCACCGCTAGCATTTGCTCCAATATTGAAACTGAAATTCAAAGGAAAGGCACAAAAGGAGAGCAGGTGAGTGTATATGTGTAAATCAAACATTTCAGCTTCTTGAGTATATGTATTACTGACACTGTCGTCTCATTTATTTGACTTAATGAACCCATCCGTCCTTGGAGAATCACAGTACTGTCAGTCCAATGCAGAGATTTAATAATATGTAATGTAATCTAATCAACAATAGGGATGTAACGAGAAATTCAACCCACAATAGCAGTCACAATTTTTTGTTCACAAAACGAATTTATAACCTTTTTTTTTAAATTTAAATTTAATTATGGCCAAATACTATGACCCTTTATTCATAAGAACTACGCCAAATACCATTACTAACTGACATGGTGTTGTATACCTATAATAAAAATATTTAACAACGAAAGAATAAAAAAAAAAAAAACTACTACAAAGAGTTTCTTTCTTTACAGAAACACTGCTTGTGTCTGTGGAAGAAGTTCTTCCCACGTTCACACTGAACTTCACTTAGGCCAAGTAGGGACCTGAGGTCTTGGTTTAAAAGCTGGTTACAACCAACATACCGCCATCTGCTGTGCTAGAGTGTGTAGTCTCAAGGTATGACCACTGACTCTTTGAGGTGAAGCAGCCTATTCCTTATGTCTTGACCAAGATTCATTTTTTATTTAAAGCGATGGGAATTGTCACGCATATGTACCAACTTTTAACCGATTTTTGACCAGAGCTTGCTGCTAACAGTTCATTTAAACATAAAGGTGGTTTGGTAGTTTTAATTACGATAGCACATTATCTCCCCTTTAAATTATGGTTTTCCATGGAAAATCACTTGTGACTGAGTCTACCGTGCAGATGTAGAATCTCGTCCAGGTTGGAGAAGATGTTCTTGATGTCAGCGGGAGGCAGAATGGCCTCTTTTGACAGTTTCTGGTAAAAAA